TCATACTCTCCTGGGCAGCAATGGTGATGAGAGGCAGTACCCTTTCTCATGAGAAAGCAATAAGCTCCTTTCTGCTTTCAAGGTATCTAAGTCTTTGTTTTTAATTTTGAGTAAGTGGTCTTTATCCCACACAGTTGGGGGATCTCTGGGATCCCTCCTTATTTGGGAAAGGGCCTCCCAGCCAGTCCTAGGACAGATGCCTGCTGGCCACTTGCCAGTGGTCCTCAGAATGGTTTGGGAGTTTCCTTTCACTTTCAAGGAACAGACCTAAAGAAAGACAGATACCTGAAAGCAGAAGCCTCAGAAAGGGCACAACAACCACCACCCACTGAATAATTTGAATTGGTCACATGAGTTTTGTGTGCACAGACCCAGGTAAGACAAGACTTGTGAGCCCCTATAAAGACGGCAAGAATTAGTGAGTCTCTGGGTGACCGGGGAAGGGAAACAAGGCTGAGCTTAGTGAGGCAAGAAGGCAAGATCAGTGGGCTTTCTACAGAAAGCAAGTACTAGTGAGCCCCCGATGAGATTTGGCCAGCCTTCCCTCCTGTAAGGGGGCAAGATTGGTGAGTTCTCAAAAGAGGACAAGAACTAGTGAGCCTCCACCTCATAGCAAGATATGGTGAGTATGGAGATGTCCAAAAAAGGGTGGTCAGCAACATAGTTACTTTCCAGATGTTCTGGATGATAGCTAACTGGACTTTGCCAAAGTATAAAGGGAAAGATAAAAAAAATGATTAAATATGATTTGATGATTTGAGGATTCTACAGCAATTTGTTGTATATCTGTTTTGTTTGTGTCTGTGGTGTGAATGAGTGTTTTTGTGTACTGGAAAGCTACTTTCCTTCTCTCCCCGTCTCCCTCCCTGATTAGGCTCAAAGGAGCAGGTGGATAGGAGAGAGAGAGAGAAAGAGCAGTTTTAAAGGGACTTCAAGCAAGTCCATCAAAGGGATAAGTAGGTAGAAGGAAGGCAAGAAAGTTTATGGGTAGAAAGAACAGCGTGAATAGAGGGTTTGAGAGTAAAAGGTTTCAAAACTTTTGGAAAAGAAAAAAAATTCTCTCTCTCTCTCTCTCTCTCTCTCTCTCTCTCTCTCTCTCTCTCTCTCCATTCTAACTCTGGCTAAGTTTTGAATGTGGAGGGAAAGACAAGAAAGAAAAGGGGAACCTTTTTTCCCTCAGATCAAAAACCTAATCTTTTCTGCCTCACATAAAAAAGAAAAGTTTTTTGTGTACAAATGGTAATTTACAGGCAGCCAGGAGCTGTGCCGAGGGCAGCGACTTGTTGGGGGTGGCTGGGGCTCGGTGGCTGCCAAGTCCATTATGTTTCCCTACAAGCCCCAACTCATTCAAATTGGTAACTATTTTAAATGAAATGTGATGTTCTTAATTTCAGAATTTATTACACTGTTTGGCACTAAGGTAAATTGGGAAAATATATGGATCTGAAATTTGTTATTGGATGATTGGAAGGTGCCTAACACAATGCCTAGCAGAGGGCAGACACTAAAAATGTTAACAACTATTCCTTAATTAGATGTGACCAGTATATAATGCAAATGGTGAAGAGATGCCCGATTTTCTAAATTTGGAAATACAGTCAACAGAATTGGAGCCACCTGATTGGTAATGTGTTTGTTTCAAGTTTTAAACCTCTAGTATTGTTTCGAATTGGTAAACTTTTGTATTGTTATGTAGAGTTGCTTTTCATAATTTGGATGTTATTAAAGTGAACTGAAAGAAACTAAAGGACAGTGGAAAAATTGTGTAAAACCAGTTATATTACTTTGTCATCCCTGCTAACCCTATCCATTTAGAAAACCAGGTATTTCCACCTTTACCTGTAATTAAAGAAGGGCTTATAGCTAAAACAATTTGACTATCACTTATGAAAGTTAAAAGATTGTTAACTAAGTTATTTGAAGTTACTGTTTTAATGTTAAAATCTAGAATGGTTAATTGATTACTATGTGAAAAGGAGTAACTGCCCATTCAAAACAGTCCTCCTTGGGATATAGGGGTGGGCGGGATTAGCTCCTCCCTGGAAGGACCTGATTGATCTGGGGGAAGCCACGGCACAGCATGCCCCTCTCCACCGAGAACTAAAGCAGTTACTCAAAGACCAAGAGAACTTTCCACTACCTATTTCTAGCACCATCAGGGTGCTATTAGAGGTTCCTTTAGCTCAAAGAGGAATTGGGTATGTGAACACTCCCCTCAATAGTTCAGAGATTAGGAATTTCAAAAAGGAAACTTATGACAGTTTAATCAGTTTTTGGGTCCAAATTTGTATATCTGGGGAGAAAATGGTAGCAATATCTTATTCAGATTCGGAGGGCGACAATGAAGGCCTGGGATGCTGGCCACCCGATAGCAAGGGGGAACTGAGGGTAGAAAAGAAGTTCCCCTTTGTAGACCCAAATTGGGACCAAAACAACCTGGCCCATAGAAAGAACATGAGGGAATTATGAGAGATGATGATACAGGGAATTAGAAAAGCCGTCCCTAAAAGCCTGAAGGTGATAAGTGAAGAGGTCTAGAGGTTTGGGGTGTCGGAACCCCAAGATCACAACACAGGCCCTGCCTGAATGAATTCAAATCATGTCTTCTTCCAGCCAGAGAAAAATTTTATTAGACATAAATCATATAGGCCAGGTGACGCCCATAAGGATGAGCAAGCATGAGAAAAGCTCAGCCTTTTGGGCATGAGAGATTCTCAGCATTTGAATGGGGGCCAGGGTGGGTCTTATATACACTAAAGTAACTTTGGGTGGCCAGAGGAGGGGGCTGGGAAAAGGGTCTAGGTGAGAATTCTGATTGGAAGGAGTCAGAAATTGAATAGGCAATGGGCATAGATAATGAAGAGAACTGGAGGGAAGAAGTTTGAAAGGCATCTGCATAAGATCAAAAGGTTGGGCTAGGGCTTTCAAAGGGAGATAAGGGGAGTCAATAAGAACCTAAAAGTTTAAGGGTTTTCTGGGGTCTGTAGACGAATGGGAGCCAAATTCTTTTTGGTGAAAGGGGCAAAGGTCTCGGCTTCTGAAACTGAATGATGGGCCCATACCCCATCAATGGGGATCAAATAGGAAAAAGAGGAAATTCCCTCCATCTTTTAAACAAGATGAAGGAGAACATGAAGTTTTTGGGGTTAGAACTTGATGATTCCATTGCACAAAGTTTATTGAGTGTATATTTTGTAACTATCTCCTGGTCAGATATTAATAAAAAAGTTGAGAATTGTCAGCAAAAAGTGTACGTGGCCAGGGTAGAGGAAAGTAAGAAGGAACAGACAAAGCAGAGTTCATCTGCCCTGAGGAAAGAACTTGCAGTTCCTAAACAGTGAACTTGGCTTGCTGAGAAGTTGCAAGTTTAAGAACAATAGACACAAATGATTTCTAATGATTGGCTTTTACACCAGGACAAGTTATATAGTCCTGGTAAATTTTTATCGATTATTGCAACTCTCTGGGAGTAAAATTAACTGTATCTGGCTTGAAGCCATAATTAGTGAAATTTGCTGTTTAAAGTAAAAGGCTCTTGGGACTATAACTAATTTTGTTTTGAGTTTCAATTTGGATATAGTTGTCTGCGTTAAATCAGTATCTAAGAGAAATGCCACAAGCTACTCAGAAGGAATGTGACTCTATACTGTTAACAGGTGGAGGTCTGCATCTGGGAAAAAGCTGTGAGGACAATCTTAGCCTCAATCTAGGGTGGAATCCTCCTGGCTCAGTTTCCCCATTGTGTTTCTTTGAGAAGGATTGATTCACACCTGACTAATCCTGAGTCTGGCTAAGGTATGGAATCGATACTGCATGATCAGAGAACTGTGACTCTTATCTGAATTCAAACAGAGCTCTATCTTGTCATATTTGGCATGTCACATGTCCCTGCTCTTTCATTTTATAGTAAATTTCTGTGATCAGAGCAAGTGGTCAGTAAAAGACATGAGCACAATGTTAGGTATGTGAGATATTGCTGTTTTGATCTGAATTCGTAGTCATCTCATGGCCTAAGTAAGAGTAAAATCAGTGTTTGAATTTATCATATGTAAAAGATTCAATTTCTGAAGTATAATTAGAGAAGGATGCATATGTTAAAATGTGGAATATGTAATTGTTAAAGGTACCAAGAGTAACAAGAGTGATAATTTCTGTATGTGATAATATGGAAGTGCAATTGATGTTATCTGAAGTTTATTGTTTGTGTTACAAAAGTTATTACTGTTTCTAAATTGTATTGTGTTTCTAAAACTCTTAGATTGTCAAATTTGAGGGAAATACCTAATGAGGTATATTTGGTTAAGATTTAGTGGGTGTGAAGAGGCTTCAAATTGTAAGAAAATGAGAGGGGGAATTGTGAGAGATGATCTCTCAGAAATGAAGCCTCCTCAAAGGGTCAATAGTCTTGTTAATAGTTCTTGTATTGTTTTCAAAACCCTCCCCTTCTCAGACCCTGTTTTTTAAGCACATAGCAGAAAGAATAGCCCTACCCCCAACCTGAACTGCTTGCCCTTGCAAAACTTCCCACCTTTTCTTGTCTCTGGGCAAACTTGTGTCTCTGTTGCTGGGGCCATGAATAGATTGTGCCCCTTGAAGCCCAGCCAATGGGATAAGGGGAAGGGGGGTTAAGGAGGAGGAGCTCGAGTTAAGGTATAAATAAGCTTGATTTCTGTAATGAGCTAGAACTCTTCTGGCTGGCAATGGTGATGAGAGGCAGTACCCTTTCTCATGAGAAAGCAATAAACTCTTTTTTGCCTTCAAGTTATCTAAGTCTTTGTTTCTAATTTTGATTAAGTGGTCTTTGTTTCACATATGAGGATTGTACTTCTGGTTTTTTCTGGCCTCTTTTTCCAATGGGTTTTAGTACTTCAGATTCTTGACTTACCAGTTTAAACATTACAAAACCAACCTCTGCTTACTCATTCTGTGATTTTTTTTACCCTCTCTCGCTTTATGGCCTATGCTACAAGCAGACAGAAAGATACAGAGAATACAGGTACCTTCCTCCAATTCCAGCTTGCTTATGTTCTGTTAAACTCATGACAGTAGACAGTCGTGCTGTAGAGAAGAGGAGTGCCAATGGAAGTTCAGACGTGGAAGGAGATAAGTCTTCTTGCTTATTGCTGGCTCCAGGAAATAACATAAGACAGGAAAAACCTGGGGAAAAAGGAATCATGGTTTATAATATGTCACAAGTCTCCTGTGAGATGTTTAAGGGAGTCAGATTTAATTAATTGAAACTTTCTCCCAAAACAGACCATTGCTTTCATCCTTTAAATTCACATGTTCACCAGAAGCTCCCAGATTTCCTGGAGGTCATATTAAGAATCAAAGGTATTCTAATAATAATTTCCAAGGACTGTTGCTTCTGCTAATTGGCACTTAAAGGATACCTGGTACACTTGGTTCCAGAGAAAAAAAGACAATTAAACATACTTCCTTCCTCTTAGTGGCAACGTGGGGGTTTACAGGTGTGAAAAGCTAAGTATGCTGTGCAACATGCCTTGCCATGCTCATTTATTCATGCTACTTAGCTGTTGGTTGTTGTTGTTGTTACAAGGGGATGATTTCAGCAGGGGTGGTAGTGGAGGGAATAACTGCAGTGTGAAAAATTAAAAGGCATCAAAAAATCTAAAATAAAATAAAATTGGCATTATGTTAAGGCTTCAGGCCCTGTGGGCAAATCCAGCTAAAGGCGGAAGCAATCCAGGATGTACACTGAGAAACTATCTCATTGTGCTAAAAGCACGGTGGGAAAGGTTAGAAATATAACTAGAACCACAGGCATAAGCTAACTCAGCTTTTCTTCAATCTATGCCTTCTAACTGCTATCTGAAATATTGAGGAATGGCTCTTACTTTTCCTTTCCTCCATCCTCAGCATTTTTAGTTCGGTAGACAGTTCCTAGTCTGACCCAATACCCTTACTTTGAATACCATTCAATACTCAGTAAGTACATACTGTATGCAAGGTACTAAGGAAACAGAGGCATATAGAGTCTCTTTCCTGAAGGAGTCTTTATTCTGTTGGGGAATAAACAATAAATAAATAATAAATAAGGGGAAGGGAGGGCATGTGGATATAATGCTTTCACAGATAAATAAAATATAAGGGAAGGAATAAAATGTTTAAGGAAGAAATAAAACTAAGTTCTCTAGGAAAATTTGAGAAGTTAAAAATGGAAACATGCAGTATTGCACAGCCTATAACCCCTCAAAGATGAGCCTCATGAAAGCTACTCCAGAGTCACACTTTCTGCCATCAATTCAAAAGCATTATCTGTGGAACTTAAATGTACTTCATTTATCCAACCCACCAAATATTTCAGCAGTTTCAAGCAAAAGGCATTTAAGGATATTATTGAAGTCCCTCACATGTAACGTTGTATGGGGAGACATCCATGTGTAAGAAACACACGGGGATGTGAATAGTACCCACTTGTATCATTTTGGGGTAGTTTCCCCTTAAAGGGTGATGCAGTGGTAAGTAGGGTGCCAAGGAGAAGCAGGATTGGATGCCTAAGCTCTTACTATTGGCCTCATTTCTCCTATCTGCAAGAAATTTAAGGAAAATTTTTCTTACTGTGTCTGACTTCAATCACTTACTAGCTGTGTGACCCTGGGCAAGTAATTTAACTTTTGTTTTACTTCAGTTTCCTCAACTGTAAAATGGGGATAATAAAAGCATCTACATTACAGGATTGTTGTGAGGATCAAATGAGATGATACTGGTAAAATACTTAGCATAGTACTGACACATAGTAGGCATTACATAAATGCTTATTCCATTTTCTTCTTTTTACATCAAAAATTTAGTGAGTTGGGTCTCCATGAGTCGGACAGACCCTACTTCATTTCCTAAGTTTGGCTTTTGCCTCAAGGGCTTCTCTTCTCCCTACTAGGTTTAGTAGTACACATATATCTATGTTGTTTTTCTCTCTGTGCATAGGCTCACATGTTTAGAGAGTATGTGTGCTTTCTTAGGGGTACAATTTCAAAATACTGCTTTCCCAAACAGTGCTGCTGTGGAGATGAGGGACTCAATCAGGCAATCTTCTATAGTTCACCACTTGGTGATCTGTCTGGAATTTCTATTTTTGGGACTGTGTTTTTAGAGGCTTCTAGGAGGGAGAATCTAGAAGCCAGAACAAGAAGCAGTCTAGTGGAGTTTCATTTTCAGTACTTTCACATGGAATCATCATCTCCTTTTTCTCCTCTCACACCTCAGCTTCTATGAAACAGGGATATGTCCCCCATACCTCCACAGACATCCAAATCTGTGTCCAAATTTATGCACACAAGACATTAATCACACTAAATAAGGATTTTGTAGCCAAAAAATTTTCCTTTAAGTTAATGATAAACAAAAGTATAGCAATGAAAGAGCCCTGAGCAATGGAGGAAGTGGCTCATTTGGACAGGAAGAAGTCAGGCCAGTTATTAAGTCAGAATCAGGTTCTCCTGGAGCTCAGCCCTCTCCCAAAGGGAAAAAGAAATCATCTGTCAGCTTAAAAGAAAAAGGAGCTCTGAGATAATTCCTCTTTAATGGGCCAATGAAAGAAAAATCAGTTTCCTCTGGCCACTCCACAATTCCACCATGTACATTTCACTGGCTCTCAGCTGGGGAGAGAAGGGAAGGTAGATTTTTGGTTTCTAATTTCCCATGTCTACAACAGACAGATCATGGTAGAAGGGGCAAGAGAGGCAGGATAATGCTAAATCCCACTAGACTTCTGCTTGTTCTGACTTCTAGATTCTCTCTCCCAGAAGCTTCAAAAACAGTTCACCACCAACCAAGTGGTGAACTATAGAAGATGTCTGATTGAGCCCCTCGTCTGCATGGTAGCACTCTTTGGGAAAGGAGCGCACCAAAGCTACATAAATTTAAAGCATGGCAAAATAAAGATTGTGGAAGTTAATCCATACATATAGGGATGTACTCTCCCACAAATTCCTACTTTACCAGTAGGAAAGGAAATATTCGTGTTGGGAAGTGGAGGTGGGGAAGAGTATTTGCATAGTGAGCATTCGTGAGAGAGAACATTCTCATAAGAAAGATGCATAGCCATGATGACATGCTCCTGGGTTTGCATCTCATCTAGAACTCCCCTGTATCTCTGATGCTGCTACTTGTTACACTCTTTGCAACATACTTCCCCCCACACACACTTGCCCCTAGGATAAGCAGATGACCTAAAATCTCATCACCAGGAAGAACGACTCAAGTTTTGATACTCTCTACCTCAATTCACCCCTAGTGGTGTCTCCTTCTGATTGGAAGGCTAGATGGCAAAGCACCAAATTCCTCCCAAAGACTTCGTTTCTAGAAGGCTTTCCACCTTCCTAGTAACTCCTTTTTCCATCAGCATTTCTGTTTGGCTTTGATACCATGGAACAACATCAGGTACCCCCTGGTGGCCCTCCCACTATCTGCTTTTCAGCTCTCTTTGCTTAGCACAGTGTCTGGCACAGAATAGGCACTTAATGAATGGTTATTGAATTGAATTGAATTTTCTGCTGTACCAAAAGCTGCTGGTGTCTTTTAATGGGCTCTTTCCTCTGCTACACTGTCTTTTGCAGGTCTTACGTGATGCTGCTATCTGACACTTTTACTCTGAATAGTAGTGATTGACATTCATTCCAACATGCTGCTCTCAACTACACCCACTCATCCGTGATGAGCTACAGCTATTATGTAGTCTCTTTCCCACAAAAGAGGGTTCTCAACATGTTGGGGACATAGCCTCAGAGTCTGTTTTAGTTCTTTTGTGAATCAGGCCTACAGTCATACCCAGCAAACCAGGAAAATCCCTAGACTTTGATTGTCTCCCTTTTGAATTCTTTTGCTTCTGACTTAGCTGTAACTTTTTGGACTCAGTCTATTATTCATTAATCACCAGCTCTTCACTCTTTTAGATTTCTTTGTACTTCTTCATCTGGGCATTGAGAAATCTCATCATGCTGAAAGATCCAACAACTAGGTACATCAATACCCTCTGCCCTCTGAGGGCAGAGCCTGGAACTCATGACCTCCAAAATCTCCATTTAAGGAGGGGATCTAGGAAAACTATGTCTTCATTTCCCCAAGTCTCTGTACTGTTAGATTTTTTTTTAAACTTTCCACTATGTCCCTTTTCAGCATCCTTTTATGTGTTGTCTTCCCCTGCATTAGATTGTAAACTCCTTGAAAGCAAAAACTATCTTTCTTTTTTTCTGTATATTTCCTCTGCACTTAGTACAGTACCTGGCCCACAGTAATAACAATAGCTAACATTTATATAGCACTTACTATGGGCCAGGCAGTGTGCTAAGGACCCTCCAATTGTTGTCTCACTGGATCCTCACAACAACTCTGTAAGGCAAGTGCTATTGTTATCTCCATTTTACAGTTGAAGAAACTGAGGCAAAACAGAGGTTATGTTATTTGCCCAGGATCACATGGCTAGTAAGTGTCTGAGACACATTTGAACTCAAGTCTTCCTGACTCCAGGCCCAGTGCTCTATCTACTGTACCACCTAGCTGCCCTAGGGGCATAGTAAATGATTGCCTGAATATTCAACTTGGAGTGAGTACATTCCTTTCCATTCCTACCATATTCTTGTTCACTAGCCTCTGTCCATGCAAACCATTCCAGAAACTTCCAAATAAACTTGAAAGTGTAGATGGAGTGGACACTATCTCTCTTGCCTTTCTTTAGCTGAAGGAGTAATGGGGAAATAGCTATGCCAGGTCACTATTGGGAGAGCTATGAATTGATCTGTTTTAAACAACAATATGGAATTATATAAAGAAAATTACAAAATTGTTCATACCTTTTCATCCTATGATCCCACTATTATATCTCCAATAAAGTTAATAATAGCAAGAATAGACTCATTTGTACAAAATATTCATGGCAACACTATTTGAAAGAGAGAAAAAAATAAAAGCAAACCATGTGCCCAACTGTTGGGAAATGATTAAACAATGGGTGTTACATAAACATAATAGAATATTTCTGATTCATAAGGAAAGACAGAGATGAAAAATTAAAAGAAACATGAGAAGACTCATATGAAGTGATACAGAGTGGAGAAAACACAGCCAGTGGAGCAACACATTCAATAACTACAGTGATACAAATGAACAGCAAACAGACAAAACGTCAGGTCACAGGCAGTGGACAATATTGGTACTGTCTTGTTGAGGGGAAAGGTACACGCCCTTCCTTCCTTTTAACAAATGATAAACTACAAAAGTGTTACAAGTTAAATAGTCATAATCCCTTTTCAATGCTGTTTTGCTTAATTGTTTTGAGGAAATGAACTTTATGGGTGGCTTGTCTATGAATCTGGTTTTGTCTGCTCTCTCAAAACAAAAACATATCGTTAAAAAATAAAACTTGAGGAGAGAAATTTGAAAATGGGAGGGCTTCACAGAGAAGTTGGCTCCTGAACTGGGCACTGAAAGAAGACAAGATTTCCAAAAGGGAGAAATGATGACAGAGTACAATCCAGGCATGGGGGTAGTTTGTGCAGATGTATCTGGCCCCTGCTGGCTCTGTTTATGAGGCAGGTGAAAGGAAAACTGCCTGGCGTAATGTCAGAATTAAGGTAAGTCATGGAGAGCTTCAACAAAACTGTTCTATGCAGCAGCAAAACCTGTCAAGACAGAAATCTGGCAAAGGAAGCAGGTTTATTCAGCATGTATTCACAACCAGACGGCTCAGACAGCAGAAGGAATACCACCACCAAGGTGTGTCACACTCAGGTGGAAAGTGGTGCCAAAGAGTTGACCCTACATGGGAATTTATATAGGGGCTAAAACAAAGTCAAGTGAGCTTTTCTTTCTCTGGTCAAGGGGGTTAGTTACAGCCAGGGCCTAAAACAAAATCAGCCTCGCTATCTCAGATGTGGATGGGATACTGTTGGTTGATGACAGTTAGGAGGGGTTTGGGTCCTGGTATGCTAATTAGGGAACCCTAAGATAGAAGGAAAGGATCCTGATAGCGAAGCGGCTAGGCTACTACTACTACCATCCAAGTTACTCCAAAATAGGTGAGACAAAGGTTGCTACAAAAGGCATGAAGGTGGGAGATGAAATGTGGCATTCTGGGAAACAGCTAGATGGTTCAGTGGCAGGCCTGGAATCCCAAAGACTCCTCTTTCTGAGTTCAAATCTGACCTCAGACACTTACTAGCTGTGTGACCCTGGGCAGTAACCCTGTCTGCCTCAGTTTCTTCATCTATAAAATGAGCTGGAGAAGGAAATGACAAACCACTCCAATGTCTTTGCCAAGAAAACCCCAAATAGATTCACGAAAAGTCAGACATGACCAAAACAACTGAATGACAATAACAACAATTCTGGGAACAGCTCTTAATCCAGTTTAAATAGTATTTAGATTACATGAAAAGGAGTAACATGAAATAAGACTGGAAAGGTAAGTTGAAAAGCACTGTAGAAGACCTCAGATGTCAACCTAAGGAATTTACCTTTGCTTCAAGAGGTAAAATGGGGCTACTGAAGGCTTTGGGCAAGAGAGTGGCCTGTGCCTTAAGAATTATGTATCGGTAGAGGGGTGGGGGAGACTGTGAAATAAAGGAATACATGCAAAAAAAAAAGTATAATCCATCAGTACTAGTCAATACAGTGACCTATCTTGACTTTGCCAGAAAACTAGTAGCAAAACATATCTCTTTTCTCTCTTAGAGAACTGGTAGACAATAAGTAGGGGAATGAGGCATAAACTGTAAGGCATGAACAATGTGTTCATATGATTTGCTAAATTATACTCCTTTGTTACAAGGGATGGTCCTATTGGTGAGGGAGAGTGTGATTGAAAAGTGACAGTCATGAGGAGAAATCAATAAAATATGTATTTTAAAAATACATATGAAGTATCTACCTAAGTGGTATAATGTCAGGAGTGTTAAGAAGTCTCCACTGACCAAAACGATACCTCATCATGCATCTGCTGGTTGATGGCTGAAATTGCATTTTAAAACTTTATTCCTTTAGCATCAGTCAAATCAGTATTTATTTGACTCTCTACTACCTGCAAAGGTACTTCCATGAAGGCTTTGATTGCTGTTGTAATACAAATATCTTCTGAAGGGCATAACATTAAACATTATCCATAATTTAAAATAGTAATAGATTACTTTTAAATAGTACTCTCCAGTTGGCAAAGCATGTGGTGTTATGGTTAGTGCAAGTAGTATTATCTCCATTTTACTGCTAAGGAAAATTAAGCCCAAACAATTGACATCATCTTGCCATGCTAGATCCAGGACTCCAACTCAGACCCTCTAAAAGAAAAAAAAGCTTTATCGATGCCATTTATTTTTACGTCATAGGAATTACTGGACATATTTCCATTCTTGACTCTTACACAGAGGATATTCACTTGCAACAAAGAAAAACACTGAAGCAAACTCAACATGTGGACCATTCTATACCCATCAGTCCGTCCCTCTCAGAGGAGAGCAGCGAGGTACATTTTCTCATCTCTTCTCCAGGACCAAGAGTAAACCCAGGTCCTCGGACTCCAAGTCTAATATATTTTCCACTCTACAGAGGTGGAAGGGAACTTAGAAATCCTCCAGTCTAACCCCTTCATTTTGTTTTTTCTCAATTTTAATTGATTTTTATATATCATAAATTTTCATAATGGTGACATCAATTTTAATTGATTTTTATATCTGTCGTATTCCCGCACTCCATGCAACAATAAAAAAAAAAACAGTCAGGAAAAGCAACCAATAGAGTAATAAAACAAACCTAAACTACATTTGGTATACATCACCTGTTTTCTCTCTACTAAGAAGAGATATCTGTTTTCTGGAATCAAGATTATTCATTGCAGTTCATTTGAGTTCGCCTAACTTTCAGCATTGTTTTCATTCACATATTGTAGTAATTCTGTGGACTGTTCTTTTGGTTCTACTTTTTTTGCTCTGCATCATTTCATATAAGTCTTCCTATGTTTCTTTGAATTTCTCGTGTTTACCATTTATTATGAAACAATAATCTTCCATTTTTCATATAACACCATGTCTTCAGCCATTCTCCAATTAATGGGCACTCGCTTTGTTTATAGTTTTGAACTATCGGAGTATTTTGTTATGTATAGAATTTTTCTGTCGTTGGCCTCCTCCCAATCCTCTCATTTCACAGAGGGGAAAACTGAGAACTAAGAATGAAGAAAAGATGTGAAATAATTTCCCCAAAATCCTGTGACTACTGTTAACATGAGGACTAACAGTCAAATCTTTCAGTTCCCAATGTAGTATTCTTTCTCCTGCTCCATGCTCAGTTTCAGATCCATTTTAAAAAATAGAGTTTGATAGGATAGAAGAGAGAAGAAAATGCTGAGTGCCTAGTAGAGGATGGTACCACTGGAAAGGAGAACTGGCCAGAGCCTTAAAATGGAAGATACAAAACACAAATTTGACTGACTTCACAGTCCAGCCCAGGAGTGGGGAACCTGAGGCCTCAAGGCCACATGTGACCTTCTAGGTCCTTGGGCCTGAACTTTTGGCTGAGTCCAAGTTTTACAGAACAAATCCTTTTAATAAGGGGATTTGTTGTGTGAAGTTTGGATTCACTCAGAAGGCTGCCTTTAGGACCTAAAGGGCCACATGTGTCCCTGAGGCTTCAAGTCCCCCATCCCTGGCCTAGTCTAACACCAACCCCACCCACTGCAAATACAGATCCCATCTCTGTGAGTGGCAGCTACTTCGAATTCAAAGTTTAGAAATAAAGGTGGAAAGCAGCTTCTGGAAATACTTGGGAAAACAATGAAAATATATCTACACATATATATAAATATACATATATATATATATTTACTAACAAGGGAGTAAATATCTTTGATGATGACAAAGCAGATAATTTGTAAAGCTCAGATGATGTTCTCAACAATCATAGACAATAGAGTTTTGTTTTATTTTTTGGAAGGGATCTTAGAGATCATAAATAGAAGAATAAAATAAGTAGTGCTTATCCCAAGACTGGATTTGAAATTTCCAACCTTTGGGACAAATGTGGTACTTGGGTTAATTGTATCTACCCGTAGGGCAGGTAACAAAAGGATCTTATTTATGCCTATAATTGTGAAAATGCAACATGACTTTAAATATCTCTAGTGGAAATATTCTGAAAGGCCACAAGATGGGGATGTTACTTAATGAAATATATATATATGTATATATATATATATATATATTATACACACACACATAAGCATATATTAAACACATAAAACATATATACATGCACATATATATTTATAGTAAAATTAGATACTCCTGTTCATTTCTTCATGGAAAATGAAGAAAAGAGAGAATCTTAAGAATTTAAATACATTTTATTTGGGCTTTTTTTATGACTAATTTAAAGTAGTTATTTAATGTTCTTGGGTTTTTAAAATCTATGACTGTATTTTCTATTTAATTGATTTTAGATTTTTATGTCAGTCATTTCCAAATACGTACTCCACCAAAATGACGTCTCCCTCATAACAAAGAAAAATTATTAAACAAAACAACACAGTGAATAGTCTTGGTAGCATATGTGATATATTGCTTGCCTGACAATTTTTTTTGAACTCGTTATTAGTAAATGAGGTCTATATTTGCCTATCAGGGCATTTGCAAACATTGAGGTTTCCTTTCTGTAGCTCTACTTTACCCCCTTGCCTTCTTTTCTATCCACCTACTCTTATTATTTCTATTAACTAGCTAAAACACAGAACTGAAGCATTTTTAAAATGATTTATTCCATAGAGTTTTATGTTCACTGTTCTCAATTTTTAAAACGCGTATAGGAATATACATACATAAACACACACAACCCAATGATGAATTAAGTTGCTTTGTACTTATAA